CATGAGAACAGCAGTCATGAATGGCACTCAAAAGAAATTTGACATCTCGAAAAGTGGACACAGCGGCCTCTGGGGGATTCGCAAAACAAAAACTGCAAAAGAAACATACTGTAGCTCCTGGGAGATATTTGGTAGTCTCCAGAAATGTATTTAGGGGTACATTTTCAGAATGAGCCTGGGTTGTAAAATTCCCAAAAGGAAAAATAAATGAACCAAAATGCTCTAAATAAACAGGAGTCTGATTTATTTCTCATATAGAGAATTGAAATGAATTCCTCATTTATTAAAATCTGTCAGATGGATGAAAAAAAGTTATAATATTTCAATTATTTCACATTGGATGGACAATCCAATGGGTAATTTTAAAATGCTTTAGCTTCTGTTTTATTTTTTTCTGAAGCTATAGGCCCCCTCTTTGGCAAAATTACCAAGTTATTTGTGCATTGAGGCCCTTTTTGAAACAAACTTTCCAAACAAGACCATTATAATTGCACCTATAGATATGACTGAGGATTGCATCTTGTTATGTGAGCAGGCTTTATTACTAAGTTATTTCCTACCATGAAAAAAATAAGCAGTCCAGATGAACCACACTGTTCTGGCGTGGCAGACCTTGCCAAATAAACATTTCCAAAAAAATGTGCTATACTTTAGGAATAGTAAGCATACTTGCATGCATTACATAATCATACAATCCAGATGGATTTGGCTGAATAATCAAATCAGAGTTAAACCACTTTCTATGCTACTATACTGACTCTTGTTGATATAAGACCAGTGACTGACAAAGAATGTAAAGTAGTTGGTTCTCACCAATTAACTTAAATATTATTTTTCTATTTTGTGTTTCTGTGGTGACCATGTGGTTTTGATATAATTCATCACTTCCTAATTAAACTAGCAAACAAAATGTAAAACTATACTTATCATGTGTCACTAGAGGGCACTCAAGCTTTTTAAAAACTTCACCAGCCATTCACCTGTTCTACACTGTGGCGGCGTTCCATTGCCGCGATTGTTGGTAGAGCAAGCAAGTTTTGTACGTGTAAAGTCAGAGTCCGTAGGCAAAATAGATGCAAATAAAAACGTCAATATTTTCCAATCAACATAATTCCTTCACCAATTTTCCTTACTCTATAATGCACACTTCTCTGTTACCTTAAGTTGTTATGTTGAATTGAGTTACAGTCAAAAACTGTGTGCTTCCTACCAATGCTCTCTTCCTCCATGCAGTGAAGCCACAGTTATATAGCCTGGTACTGACACCTTTTGGCCAATTGCTCCTACATACACTTTCTATAAAGCTGTGGTCACATTAGACTTTGAGCATGCGATATACTTCCATTCATACGCACGCAAATGCGTCAGACCGGAAATGCAGGGTCATGCATTAGGTTTCGCAGTTTGCTGCAGTGCAAAATTCAAGCTTGGTGAACTCTAACCTGCGAAATCGCGTCACTTGACTGCGTGAAACCAATCGAGGATCAAAACATGAAATCTCTTAACAGAAATTTAAAACATGGAGCAATCGCTCGCTTTTTTTAAATGTCTAATGACCTTGTTTAATCCAACCCCTTTTCGCAGCGCCGCACAATAGAATTTCGCACACACAAACTTTAGTGTGGCCGCAGCTTAATGCTTTGCAACTCACAGCTGAAACAGTTTACTAATCTGCACACACACATGCACAGCTGCAGATCATTGACACTGATTACACACATTATATAAAAAACACCGCTCACATAAACACAATAGTGATGGTGAAATGAAGCTTTCTGAACCAGTAAAGCGCTCGATTTGAAAAAGGTTCGTTACTCAAAACTTTCTAAATCAAAGCTCGATGAGGACTTCTGCTAGTTAAGGTTTTGGAAAGCACTGTGTTGCAAAAATGTCAAATGTTCACAACTGATCAACTCATTCATGTACAAATACAACAATTAACAGTAATAAAAACAAATTACTCAATAACTGTAGTTTTTACAAATAAGGTATGTTACATTACACCACCGAGGACTGTAGTAAATCCAAGGTATTCAAAAGTGTTTACATTTTTCATGTCTCAACTAAACCTGGAAATGGGGATCAAACCAGCGATTCCTGCATGGAAGGCGAATGCTCTAAGGAGGAGGCTATGTGAGTGATGCTTTTGGCCTGCACTTGACAGCTGGTCTCCGTTAAACACTATACTTTGATGTGAAGTGGTTTTCTTTAAAAATAGTTGTAAAAAATACACTAATAAACTTTAGGATGGTTCATAAATTATATACTATAAATTACTATTGCATTTTAGTTTAATTACTGGTGTGTGGGACCAGTGCAGTGCTTTGAAACAGTAGAAATGTATGTAATCGACGCCATAATCTCTCGCTATACACTTTACTAACCCATGAGGTTGTTTAAACCTTTGAATCAAAATTCGAAGCAGTCAGTGGGTAAAGGCGTAAATGAAGCTTCGGACGTCACTGATCACGTGATTATGGCAAAACGAATCAAGCTCCGGTACACTGCTTCACTGCAAGATGTATCGTTTTTTTGATACATGCTTCGAAGCCTAGGCGCACAATGTCACGTCACTAACACACAATTCCTCAGCCTTTTATTACTGTTAGTGTGCACCACCCAGCATTTTCCTGTTTGTTGTATTTACCTGTTTTGATTTTGGACTGATTTGGAATTTTGAAGTGCTTTCTGCCTGCCCTGACCATTGTCAGTCTTTTTGGATTACTCTATTGGATTAAAATTGACCTTGTCTATCTGGCCGTCTTTGTCTAATAAAGCTGCATTTGAAGCTTACTTCATTGTCAGCACACTTGATAGAATGTTTTTTTTTCTTTCTTATGTACAGTTTCATCATTTGTATATTTGTGTTTTTATTAGCTGATGTAATTTTTTAGATGCTATTAAAGAGCCCCTATTACACTTTCATTGTCTTATAATATGCATTTACTTTACCTAATTATCCCAGCGACTCCCATATGAATCGTTCAGCAATTTATTTGTTCCCAAATCCCTCCTTAGCGCGAAGCTGATTTGCGCTGATTGGACTGCTGACAGCCTATTTAGATTGGTTGACAGCATTCAACGTGAGACAGAGTGAAATGCCCAGCAACAATATTGAAGTAGTCAGTGTGCATAGTGTATGTGTGAACATACCTGCCAACACTCCTGTTTTTCCCGGGAGTCTCCTGTATTTTAGACCCATCTCCAGCCACCCACCAAATTTGTTATTTATCCTGGAAAACTCTCCTATTTTCAACCACCAAATAGTATATTGCTCTATTCTTAACCATGACACACATTTAGTATTAATCCACACAGTGGCAAAAGCTGAACTATTTTGAACCTTGACTGTTGCACGTGTGCAAGATCAGCTGGAGATGGCCATAGCAACGACAAACAGCAGTGGAACGCGAGCTCACAAACGCATTAAAATCCGTAAACAAAGTGGCATGCATCGTGTTTTCAATGTGGCATTAGATGTGATATGAGAATTTAAAGAGTTAACCTGATACAGTACAAGTGCTTACAAGTAACAAAACACAATTAAATACATAATTTGCAAGCTAGAGAAAACAAGGAGGCAACCATTTTAATCACACTTACTTACATTTGTGAAATGGAGGAAGAAACTGATCCATGATCCACTGATCCATGTACTGATTAAGTTCCTGTCAAACTCTGACAAAGTCCCATACATAAATAGTCTTTTCTGATCCTTCCTTTAACAAAAAGCAAACGAATCCCCTGTTGTAAGCGTGTAAATTCCAGAAGCACTTGTCAGAAAAATGATGGGAACAGCACGAGGTTGGGCTATAATGCTGAGATATTTTTGCAAAAATAAACCTCAACCACTGACTCTTCACAGTTTTATCTTTGGGTAGAGAAAATAACACCAACTTTCCTTACACTTCAAGTAATATCCAGCTGAGCACAGCGTCTTCATGACTTGATTCAACCAGGATATGCTACAATGTTTGAGGGAGGGGCTGCAGGTTTAAATTTTCCAGGGTTTGCACGCACAACAATTGGGCGGGGCTTAAGTTTCGTATAGATGTCATGCCGAAACGGCTAAAGACTCATTATCAAGATGATTCATTTGAAGCATTATGAATATACTCTTTTATAAATGAATCAATAGTTTAAAACACTGTGCACTTTTAGATTTAAGCCTTAGCTGGATATTTAACTTCACTAAAAGCTGTGATACACACTACATGGAAAGTCATTCTCAAAAACCCATAATATTGGCTCTTTAAAAATTTGCCTAGGCAGGAATACAAATCTGACCTGAGGTCTGCGGCTACGAAATGCTTTTAACTTTATTAATTTGTAGTTACACTAACATGAAATAAGGTTTATATGTCTGCTCAGTCAGGATATAAATATTTTTACAAGATGTACAATAAGTCTCTGATGTCACTATTGTGTAAAGTTTCAGCTCAAAATACCTCATAAATAATGTTTAGAACTTTTTGAACCTGCACCTTTTAGGTTTTCATACTAATTGTGTTGTTTGGTGACTGTTGCTTTAATTTGAGATTGTGTTCTTTTTAAAGAGGGCGGAGCTGCAAATGTCTATGTGTCAGTATAGTGGCAGATTCAAAAACAAGACTAACGTCTTATGCTAATTAATGAGTGATCGTCTCTAATGTGTTTCCCCCTCTGATGACACAAAAAAAGGGAGAATATTACTCAAAGTGTTTCTGCAGACCATTTTATAAATTGCAAATATAAAAAAAAATTAGGGCTGTCATTTGATTAAAAAAAAATAACCAATTAATCACACTTTCTTTGTAATTTTGTACAATTTTCGTAATCACGAAAAGCCATATTTATTGCTGAAATAAAAACACAGGCATGTTAGTACCATTTGAATTTCAAAACAATCAATGCCAATAACAAAGAAAAATTATTTCCATGTTGGATTGTAAGTGGACTAAAAAAAAAAACAATTTGTACTCATTATAAAGTTTTATTGTGAGCTGAAAACATTATTTATAAATCAGAAACAATTTTGCTTAGTCCTCTTTAACATTTAGCCAGTTGCTAAGACAGTCCAGTCTATTGACATTATTAGGGACTGTGGCCCTTTTCTTTTAAATGATGTGAGGTGAGAGTGAGAACAGTCTCTCACAAGCAGAATCAAGGGGTACATTAAAGGCACATACCAAAGACTATAGACTTCTTACAGGGTCCTACACTGTCAGTAATGTTAAGAGCTGCTTGGAAACGCACACACACACACACACACACACACACACACACACACACACACACACACACACACACACACACACACACACACACACACACACACACACAGAAACAACGTGCACAGTACAGCGGTCACGGTGAGCGACTCCTTTTAGATTCATCAACACACACAATCGCGTTCATCAAATTTACTTAAACTAAAGGCTGGTTTATACTTCTGCATCAAGTGACCGGCGTAACCCACGGCGCATGCAACGCGCGTAGCTTTAAATTTATACTTCTGCGAGCTGTCTCTGTTGCTCTGCATCAACATTTCCGAAACGCTAGTTGGCACTAGCAACAGTATTATAGAAGTTATTTTCAGTTTAGTAAATAAAATAAGTGCAAGAAAACACCAGCTGATTAATATAAAAAATAAAAAATACAACAATACAACTGTGTACAAAACGTTTTGCTTGATACATGAAATTAGATTTGCAGTGTATTTTAGAGATCTGCTATTAATGGTGGTCATTATTAGAAAAAAAAAATCCAAACCTCGAAATATCAGGACTAACCAAAGATATGTATGAAGAACTACATAGGCTAAGTTTACTTTTTAGGATTGGTGTTCCACAAACGAGGATGATCATTTTAAGGGTCAGTGTCGTCTAATGTTTGAAAACCCCTGCTTTAATAATCCTGACGTCTTTGGACAACTAAGGATTTTCATTAGGGTTGGCATTGTAATATTAACCATTGAAAACAAAACATTTTTGTTGCTTAACTGGTAACTGGTAAAATATTTTTCTCACAGATCCATTGATAAGCACCATCACATGCAACATCAAGCCATCCTATTAACTCAGGGTGCTTTTTTAAATGGGTCACAGCACAGTTCTCTGTTTTCCGTCCATTGGGCTCAGTTATTGATCCAGAGGAAGCCCAGAACCTGCATGAACAGATCAACATTAGGTGTTCAGTGCCGCTGTATGATACGATACTGGTCGTTAGAATCATTTAATAATTAATTTATTAGATCATAAACCAGTTTAGTTTTAGGATTTCTCACCTAGACGTCAGATTACTACCATCAACCCATTTCCATATTCCCTCTTTATCACTGTCAGTCAGACCAATCCAGAATTCATTGTTACTGGTGATCTTCATAATAAAATCCTAAACAGATGAAACAATGCAATATTTATTTAATCAACAGAAAATATATAGTACACATTTCATCTGACCATCTCTCACTTAGCTTCTAAACACCATAAACACACACACACACAATCTCTCACTCACTTGTTCCTGTTTGTTGTTTATGATGATCAGATCAGCTCCTCTGTCTTTACAGTCTCTTCTGCTCTCAGTCCAGCTTTTCCTCTCACTGGACAAGTAGTAAAAGCTGGATTGATAGTAAGCTGTTAAGAGAACAAGCACAGTTATTAGTTTTACACACAAGGTAATGTACAATTACATATAATATACATTAAAGCACAGGCAGCACAACTTAGCTGTAACTGCAGATTATAGACATTTACCTTCCTGACCAAAAACCTGAAGTTGCTTTATTAGTTGGTCTTTGTCCTTCAGGAGGTTTGCGTTCTTCTTTAATATCTCATTTCTCACTTTTGTAAACGTAGTAATCTTGTTGAGTAGCTCATCCCTGTCTTCTTCGAGGTTGGTGATGTTGATTAGAACCTTGTCTTTGATTTCTGTGAGATTGATGATGTCGGTTAGTAGCTTTTCTTTGTCTTCTGTGATGTTGGTAATGATGCTTAGTAGCTTGTCCCTGTCTTCTGTAATGTTGGCGATGTTGGTTATAAGCTGGCGTCTCTCTTCAGCAGAGTTTGTGTTGTTTGTATAGATGAAGACACTCAGCACTATGACTGCAGTCAGCAGAAGGAAACACAATAGCACCAAACAGACTGGAGCTGCTCTGGAGCTTCTCTTCTTTCCTGAAAGATGGCAGACATTCATATAAATGTTTATTTATCAGACAAAACCAAAAGCATTGATGTATTTTAGTAATATGTTGCGGTGCACTCATACAAATGTTATGACTTGTGCATAAGCCCCTACAAATTATAGGTGTACAAGTCAATAAACAGCTGGTTTGTAGTTGATTTAAAGTACTGTCTCACAGTAGTTTTTTGGTTTAAGATCTTTAAAGAGAAGCACGTTAACATCACTGCTGAGGAACTGACTTCATTAAAGTCTTCTCCTTATAAGATCTCATTTTACATGCTTATTTTATGTATTTGACTAATCGAATTCATTGGCGAGCCACCCAATGATGGTTAAGCCAAATACATCTAAACCTAATAGTGCATTCGTGTTTGTGTTTGTACCTGTTTCATTTCTGAGAGAGCATCTGTCCATCTTCGGTGTTGGATCATAGTTCACAAGTATATTGCCATAAATTGGCTGAGCCATTTCTATTCCACTGGTCATCTATAAATAATGGTTTAATGTGGTCTTTGTTTCTACTCTCTAGTTCTGTGCTATTGAGTCACTAATTTTAGCATTTGAAGCTAATGTGTGGCAAACATGCCAACATATAAGGCCATGTGACATCCTGTATCTGTTCACGTGAATACAGAAAAGTCTCACTAAAGGTTTCCATTGTGGTTGTGTGGTTACTGTAGATGTAGCTTAATAGTTACCATAGCTGATAAAATGAGCACAGTAAAATTATTCATGTGGAAAAGTCATCTTACTTTATTTCTGTATTTATTTTTCATTTATATTTATTGATCATAAAATGCATCTTTATAGTGCTAAACATCTGTTTTTATTGCCTTATTGTTTCTACTTATTTAGGATAAATGAAGCAATGAGAATAGCAGAACAGAAGTGATCTGAGGTCAGTGTGTAAAGTCCCAAATTATGTGAGATGTATTGCACAATGACACCATAAAGTAAAGCTTTTGAAACTTTACAGACTTTTGAAGTAATTGCACCTCAAATTTGGTAGTTTTTTTTTTTATATATATAAAATAATCTCTATTGTTCTTACAAAATTAAAACAGTTCCTAACTATTGGTTTTGAGCCAACTTCAGACATATTTAAGTATAACAAAGTGTTAATAAACAGTCATATCACTTTTTATGGGCTTTCTCACCAAATAAATACTTTAATTACTGCCAAGAGCTGTAAACTACTTTTATTTTGTAATCCACTCTTGTGTACAAAGCAATAAGCCTGGCAAAATGATGAACACTACAACAGTATTATAGAAGTTATTATTAGTTTATTCAATAAATTAATGCTAGGTAGCGCCAACTGATTTCTATGAACAAAAAAACTAAACTGTGTAAACAATGTTTTGCTTCTGATGTAAGATTAAATTTGCAGTGTATTATACAGATCTGTGATTAATGGTGGTCAATATTAGAAAATGGCGATCCTCTGATAATTAGGACTGACCAAAGATATGCATAAAGTGCTACATAGCTTGTGTACAGGATTGTTGTTCCTCACATGAAGTTGATCATTTTTAGGGTTCAATGTCATCTAAAGTTTGAAAATCCCTGCTTTAGTGATCCTGAAGACTTTAGATAACATATTTAGATGCACTTTATTAGGGTTGGCGTTGTGATTTTAAGCTTAACATTAAAAACAAAACATTTTTGTTGCTTAAATGGTAACTGGTAAAATGGACTTCTCACAGATCCATTGATGAGCACCATCACATGTAACATCAAGCCATCCCTTTAACTCAGGGTGCTTTTTTAAATGGGTCACAGCACAGTTCTCTGTTTTCCCTCCATTGGACTCATTTATTGATCCAGAGGAAGCCCAGAACCTGCATGAACAAATCAACATTAGATGTTCAGTGCTGCTTTGTGATATGCTACTGGTCAAGAAGAATCATTTATTAGATCATGATCAGTTCCGTTCAGTGATTTCTCACCCAGAGGTCAGTATACTGCCATCAACCCATTTCCAATTCCCTTCTTCATCACTGTCAGTCTGACCAATCCAGAATTCATTGTCACCAGTGATCTTCATAATAAAATCCTGAGCAGATGAAACAATGCAACATTTATTTAATCAATAGACAATATTCACATTTTATCTTCTTATCTTCCACAAACACACACAATCGCTCACTCACTTGTTCCTGTTTGCTGTTTATGATGATCAGATCTGCTCCTCTGTCTTTACAGCATCTTCTGCTGTCAGTCCAGCTCTTTGTTTCATTGGACAAGTAGTAAAAACTGGATTGCTAGTAAAACCATACAGCTATTAAAAAAGTTCTGCCATTAGTATATTTTTCCCATTTACAATCCCACAGCTGTTACTTACAGTAGATAAAGTACAGTTATATAGAGTATACACTGAAGCATTGCAAGTCTACAAGCTGCACAAATTTGCTGTAACTGCAGATTATAGTCATTCACCTTCTTGACCAAAAATCTGAAGTTGCTTTATTAGTTGGTCTCTTTCCATCAGAAGGTTTGTTAGCTCATCTTTGGCTCCTGTGAGGTTGCTGATGTTGGTTACTAGCTGGCGCCTATCTTTAGCACAGTTTGTGTTGTTTGTATAGATGAAGACACTCAGCACTATGACTGCAGTCAGCAGAAGGAAACACAACAGCACCAAACAGACTGGAGCTGCTCTGGAGCATCTAGTCTTCATTGAATCACTTCCTGGAGATGACAGACATGAATATAAATGTTTATTTATTGAACAAAAATGAAAGTGTGTTTGTATTTTTACCTGTTTGATTTCTATGAGAGGACCTGTCCATCTTCAGTCTTGAATTTGTGTTTATGCTGGCATAAATAGGCTGAGACATTTTTATTCTGCTGGTCTTATAAATAATGAATTAATGCGGCCTTTGTTTCTACTGTCTAGTCCTTGAGTCTCTAATTTCAGCATTTGAAGCTAATGGGGCAAACATGACAACATATAAGACCATGTGACATCCTGTATCTGTTCACATGCATACAGAAAAGTCTCACTAAAGGTCCCCATTGTGGTTGTGTGGTTAGATGTAGCTAAGTGGTTAGAATGGAAGTTAACATGAGCCCGGTAAATATATTCATGCGAAAAGTCACCTTGCTTTATTTAGTTAACATCAGAAAATACACCATTATAGTGCTCAACATTAGTTTTTTTTTTTTATTATTATTCATTTTAAAGAAAAATAATGGGAAAAGCAGAGCAGAAGTGATTGAAGTCAGTTTGGTAAAAAAAAAAAAATATATTTTTTTTATCAAAATATATCACAAATAAATAGTAAATTCTAAAAATAAATAAACTTATTAGATTTGTCTCATTTCAGAGGTTGCATTCTCTAAAGGATGTAAACTTCAAAGGTGAGTTCTTCGAAATCCACACAGGCCGAACTGAGCGTTTTGAAATGAGACAATGTAGAGGAAAGATCTCGCCACTAAGCAATCATAACAGCTGCCATTAATAAGCTGTAATAAAATTTTAAATGATTTTTTTCTCAAAAGTGATTTTAAAACTTATATTAAGCGATCTGAAGTCAAAATAAGGTTTATAAAACGGGAATCTTTTTTTTTTTTTTTTGGTAACTTTTATTTGTCACTTTTTAGTAAGACATTTCATACTCTTTTTGTATTTAAACATGTGATTAGATCTCTAAGTAAAATAAAATATAATGCATTCATATAAAACTGTAATCGGGAGTTTTTCTTTTAAAAATGCCCTGCTGTTATCAATGCACATTAAATCTTGGGTTGTTTGAGGCCACGAATGATTCAAAGGTTGTGTTCTTTATTAACTAGTAAAAAAGGGATGCATTTTGAGGCTACATTTAAAGGAAAGTTTTTTATTTTTTTTAAATAAGACAATGATGGAGCACCCATTGAATATATCTTTCGGAGGAAGCACCCTCTGAAATAAGACAGTAACTATTGTAGTCACTCTCTGATTTTTACACTAAACACCACATATACAATATGCAGATATTTGACCACACAAGCAAACCATTTACATTGTTATCAAAAAGATTAAAGTGATTACCTGTATTTTGAAAGTGGTTGTTGTGTGTTTGACTCTGTCCTGAAGTCACAATCTCCCACAAAGTCTGTACTCTCATAGATAACCACTGCCATCTCCACTCGCTCTCCGTTAATTCTCTCAGACTCGGTCTTGATCACATTGTTATAAATATCCTCAGAAATTTCTGCTCTCAGATCATTGTTCCTGTATAGAAGTGTGGTAAAGTAGCTGGTACTTCTTTTAACACTGTTTGCTAAACCTGTGGTCAGTGTGTGAAATGCTGTGACATCAGACACTTACACTTACACTTAGACATCAGACACTTACACTTTCTAGAACAATCTAGAAAGTAATTCAATGAACTTCTATGAGAGCACTTTCTAAGCTTAATACTTTTAATTTGTAGCCATTTGAATATTTACATTTTAACCCTATACCGCATGTTTTTGCCAAATGGCAACACGATACTTATGTTCATTTCTCTGCCACTGTTTCTTTATAACCAACATTAAATTGTTGTTGTTGGAAAGAGAAGATGTTAGTGTGCCAATGATGTGCTTTGGTTAAGTCACATAACATGCAGTGTTTTTCTGTAGCGCAAAATCTGACAGACTGGCATTTATTGTGAGTAACTGCTAAATGCAAATGTAAATGTCAATAAAAACATAAGATTAAATTATGTCAGATCTACAAAAAAATCTGAGACATTCACAACACAAAAAAGTTTTTATCAAATTCGTTTTTTGCATGTGTTTGCCAAATGGCAACACTGTGCAGTAGTGGAACTTCTAATATTAGCAACAGTAGCTACAGTAGCAAGGTCAGCTGTAAATTTTTAAGTCATAACAATAACAACAGGAATGCTGGTAATATAATGGTGATTAGTTGTATGATAATGACATTTGCATTATGGATAAAATCTAGTTTTTATGGCAACACTACTTTTGAATAGATATCAATACAGGGAACAGTGTATTAGCGAGCACCACCATGTTCTATGGTAAGTGAAAGAAGAAATGCACAGAACTGGCTCTTTCTGCAGATGAAAGTGAGGATGAGATGAGTTTTAGTGACCATGAGAATGATCCAGATTGTACATTTGATAAGAGCAGTGATGGAGACAGTTCAAGTTAGCTCTGAGGCAGATAAGACAGGCATAGTATAGTGTAGAGTATAATATATAAACATTGCTAGTAGCTACATTATTCTG